TTGAATTAGATTCCATGCCTCTATTTTATTATTTGGATGAACATACAAGTACTCGTTTAGCTCCTCCTTTAAAAAAATATATTTGTGTTTTACAAAACAAAGCTAATTTACTTTGTATTGTGTAAAATTACTTAACAAAAATAAGTTAAAATAAATGCCCTCTAAAATAATTCCTACATCTATAATTTTGATATTTTGGTGATCATCTAAACCAATATATTCCAGGAAAAATGACCTAAAAATACCACTTAAACTCCAAAACGCTACAAAGATCATGCTTCTTGTAATGATATTCACTATTCTTGTAAAGTTTTGGACATGTTAGCATCACTTTTTTGTCATTTTAAAATTCAAGTGATATTTTTAAGTAATCTTCCCTATATTATATTCCATAATTCTTTTCAACCAAACCTATCAAACATCACCTCTTTGTTTCCCCGGAGAACATTACCTCTATCTAACCAATAGAAAAGGCAAAAAAGAGTGGAAAAAAAAAATAACTCTAGATCTTTAATAACTCATATTTAGGCCCAAGAAAATTTATATTTTAACTTTTAAAAATAAATAAGTAATAAAAATAAACATTCGTAAATAATAATTATAAGTATTTATTTAGAAAATCCCCTTACCAACTCCGTATCAAAGGGGGCTCAGGCGCTTGGCTCTATACCTAAGGAGTAACTAATGGAGTGACAACCTTGCTGCCTGAATGGATTAGCAACAAAACAATGAAGCCTGCAAAGTAATGCATATTGAACAAGACATTCAAGGAAAGAAACTTAAGAAAAAAGTCTTGGGAATTTACCATCCCTTTTGTTTCTGAGAAATTGACTGAATAGACATATATTATACTAGAATCAAGCCCCAATAATGTCATTCTTTATGATTCAAAAAGACCTGTGTGATCTTTTATGTAGATTACGCCATATAACGATATCAACAATCCATGTCCTCACGTATATAAGAAGATAAAGAGCAGTTTCATAGAGAAGAGCCTATAGGATGTGACCATTTACAAAGATTAATGATTTACAAAATATTCCGCCAGCGTAACCATGTAAAAGAATCATTAGTTGTTCCCGGCAATAGAATCATCCTTCTGAAGAGCAACATAGTTCACTGGAGCCACTTTATTGACCCTACCACTTTCTCTACGTTCCTTGGCGCTCAAGGAACCATAACGGCTTGAAGGAGTGAGCATCCGGCGCCCAATGGGTGTCCCAGTTATGTTGTTACTATTATTATTCTGACCGAAGGGTTTCTTTGTTGTAGACTTCGAACCATAGAGTCCCTCTTGTTCTACAGCAAGTTGTTCTTGTTGTCGTCTCAGCTCCTAAGAAGATCATAAACAGAAATTAGAAAAACATTAACCATTCAGGAAAATTCACACAAAGTTCGTCAAAACAGCTAGTCAATTACCAAGTTCTTTTCTTTTCTTTTTTTTAACCATGGTCAAATACCGAGGTTCGAAACATAAAAAAGCCAAAGTCATCACAACACATAGCAACTATTGCAGCCAACTTTCCAGCAGAAAAAGGAGTAGAACTTTTGAAACATGAAGCAGACCCAATGAAAAATCAGATCAACATTGTAGAAAATTTATATGGATTAATCTTTCAGACGTTTGTATATTATTGAGTTAATTTGATTCACTTTGATGCATTTCTTCTATTAACCCCCAAACAGAATGGGAAGGGGCATGACCAAGTGAACAGAAAAAAGTAGAGTTGCAGTAATACACAAATAGCTCTATAGTTTTTTTTTTTTGTCTATTACAGAGTGTAAGTTTCAACGTTTATGATTTATTAATAATGCAGCTTGCTATAAAACTTATTTTATATTGATTTTTTTTTTTGGTGAAATATTTTATATTGATTTTGATTCTACGACAACTAGCATGAAAGATATGGTGTGTCTCGTATCTGCATATAATGATTGTAGAATAAAAGCAGTGGCTGTAAAGATTGATGTTATCCCATTGGTGACAGCATACTACCTCCGGGCCTATCGTTTGTTTCTTATAAATAGGCCCGAATGCAGTATATACCAACACAGATGGTAGTATGGGGAAAAAATCATATACATTTTGCGCCCTACAAGACAACGACTACTTAAATTCTTATTTTCTGAATGATGGAGATTAGAGACTAAAAATTTAAAAAAAAAAAAAATGACAGCAAGCAATACCCGAGATTTGCGCTTCTCTTCTTCTCTATGTTGCCTCTGCAAATTAAAGTCATTCAAGCTTTGCAGCAACGGAACCTGAAAGGAAATGAATTGTTGAAAATCAAATAATCTCTCCCTTTCAAAAGAGGAAGAGTACGTTCATTACCTTGTCATATAAGAAAGGTATTCCTTTTTCCGCCTCCCAGGCCTTTACTTTTGCAGTCAAATTCTCGACTATAGCTGGTCAACAAAAGGTCTCAAGACAAAATAATGTTAAACCAATGGAACAAATAGGTATTGCAGGTTATTAGGTGGAGCTCCTTTGCATCACGTGTGCATTTTATATACATATTTTTCATTCATGTGTTCTCTTTACAATCCAATCTCATGCTGGTATTCTTTTTTTTTTTTTTCAAAAGGACTGAATGCATGCTGCTTCATATGTTTATATCCTCAAGAGGAGAGATCTATGGCGCCAAGTCAGCCGTAGCATAACATTCTAAGAATGTTACAGCCCACAACTTTTAGCCAAGATTCAATAGAATATCAGGCACTGAGTAGGACTAGGAATAATATTTTAAGAGCTGTTGGCTGGCTACAGATTTGTTAGTAAATCAGATCCAGAACCTTATATGGAAACTACTTGAAATAACATTATCAATGATAAGTTTGTGAAATAATGGGGAAAAACTCAATCATCTAATCTCAACATATCAGTGACTTCCTTTTGAAAAGCAAGACAAAGGGCAAACACTTCACTTGGAAACAATTCTGAATGGCTTACACTAGCTCAAATTTCTTCACTTCTTCCGTGGGTCTACTATCTACTATCTCACTTCGCATTTGGTGTTATGATTTAGGTACCACTAACATAATTGCTGGTTTCCATGGCTTGCGATGGCTTTCATAAGCTTTCTTGATTAAAAATTCAAGCATAATTGGTTGCCAGTTTACATGGCATTGGCTTTCTTATTGGCATGAGGGTAGTATCATCAATCACAAAAAACATGGAGAGAAAAAATTGAAAAATGTGAAAGCTTACATGGTTTAGGTACCACTAACATAATTGCTGTTTTCCATGGCTTGCGATGGCTTTCATAACCTTTCTTGATTAAAAATTCAAGCATAATTGGTTGCCAGTTTACATGGCATTGGCTTTCTTATTGGCATGAGGGTAGTATCATCAATCACAAAAAACATGGAGAGAAAAAATTGAAAAATGTGAAAGCTTACATGGTTTAGGTACCTCTAACATAATTGCTGTTTTCCATGGCTTGCAATGGCTTTCATAAGCTTTCTTGATTCAAATTTGAAGCATAATTGGTTGCCAGTTTACATGGCATTGGCTTTCTTATTGGGATGAGGGTAGTATCATCAATCACAAAAAACATGGAGAGAAAAAATTGAAAAATGTGAAAGCTTACATGGTATTTTGCTTACTAGGGTCCGAGCCTTTTCTGCACGTTTCAAGTTTTTGTGTGCTCCTCTTACCGCACTATATCGATTTTCATCCTGATAAGAGAGTCAACAAGGTAAATGATGCATATAAAGATAAACTTTCTTGTAAGATTCTAAAAAATGGATCCAGAAAAATCCCACAACTGGTGTGGAATACAACATGTATTTGATCATGTTTACCAAAGAAATCTTAGACAATGAGTCACTTGAGATAAATTCAACTTATCAACCTGAATTGCCAAAACTCTTCCACTGCTTCACATGTTAACATGTTCATTTTGTTTAAGACATGTGAATGATCCCCGAAGTAAAAACATCATGTATAGCTCATTCTTGAGAACCTTGAGCACCTCCTGCGTCCTATGTTTATACGATTTCTAACTGATCAAAATCTAGTCATTCGCTAAATTAGAGTTCCTATAGGATGTTCACACCAATACCAGCGTGTGAAAATCTATGGGCTTTTCCATCCCTTTCAGTAAATGGCAAAATGGGCTACTCTAATAAGTCACCATATATGTTGCAAAATAGTCTGAGTGTGTGTGTAACATGTAGCTGGAAATCCAATCATCTATCGAGCTGAAACCAACATAAATGAAGTTGCCACCCATAACTATGCTTTTTCCTCCCTACTAGTAAAATTTTAGTAAATGGAAAAATGGATTACTTTAACAAGTCCGCGCAGATGTTGAAAAATATAGAATCACCTTATCTTAGGTTTGGGCCAGACCAGCATTTTGGTAAAGTTCCTAGGTTCAATTACATTCCTAAGGTAAGAACATTCCCCCCTCCCCAGAACCAAAAAAAAAAAAACTTAAAAAGCCAACCAAAGAGAAAGAAATTTTGCCAAAGGCATGTAGTATAATCCAAATTAAAATAGTGTCATATGCCAAATAATCAATCACTAATTATATTCCTAGTTATTAATAAATTTCAACTGCTTTATTTTGGCTTTCTTTTAAGATAACAGATTTCAAAAGAAACATGAAAAGATAATTACCCTTTCATATTCATCTAGCCAATTTTCCTCCTCAGCAGCCAAGTGCCACTTCTCTACCTTATCCAAGATATCCTTCCTGCTTAGAGCTTCCTCTTTTGCTTTTCTGATTTGATCATCCATGCTCTGAAGCAAATCAGAAAGACTAATACTACCTGAAAATGTATAATTTAAAAACAAATGGTTTATCACATGAATTACACGAGGTTGTAGGCCCGCCTAAAAACAGCCAAATCAAGAAATTGTAGAGTAAACACAAGTGCTCAAGAGGCAAATAGGAATTAAATAAATGGCTGTCGAAAATTTTCATAAACTTTTGAGAAAATAAAAATTTTTAATAACTTAGACTTTACGAAGAGAGAAAGAAGTATTAGTCAAGAACCAGATTCTATGAGGTCAGTCAGAATCTGTTTAGCCTTAACACTATCCACATCCATGTGAACTCCTCTGTAAATTTGTTCTAGCTCATTCTGCCTCTTAAACACCAAGTCCTTTAGCTTACTTCCTTTCAGAATTTCCAAGCGCTCTACTTCAAGCTCGGCCTAAAAGGCATTAAACAAATCAAGAGCAGAAAAATTAAATATCATGCCAAGGATTCTTACAAAGTGAAGAATTACAAGATAAACTCAAGACAAAAGGAATTTTCACCTGCTCAATGACATCCACAGAAAGACACCCTTGTTTTGACACTTCATCAACTGACAATGGAATTAAGCTAGAAACATGGCTAAAGTCCTTTTGCTCATCAATTGGTATTTCCATGAGATTCCACAGCTCTATTAAGGACCTAGCAAGCTCTTGGAGCTACACCAAACCAATATTGCATTAATGAACCTTTGTGAAGCTTTTCAAAATATAGTACCGTATTTTAAAATTCAGGCACAACAAATTGATAATTTCGTCAACAAAAGCCATTAAAACCTAGTATGTATCTTCACAGCTTGACATAATTACATGTCAGATTTGGTAAAAGCTCAACGAGGCCTAGCCTGGCCCATTTCCCCCTCTTATATTAGGTATTTTATAAGAGAAAACTTTCTCCTTTGATAGCTTTCTTTTTGCTCAAAAAAGAAAAGTTAATTTGCAAAGTAACATTCAATATTGGTAAAATGATTTAGCTATATGTATTATCCACTGTCACGTTACCACACTCATTCATCAATGAAAGATACAATACCTTCTAGTTATATTTTTCAAGAACATATCATTTTGCCAAAAGAACATAATAATTATCCACACAACGTATGAATGCAACCCATCAATATTTGATTTTCCTACTTCAAGCTTGTGACAAAAGAAAAAATTTTGTTTTATGACAGCTTTTCACATCCACTACTAATCAAAGTTGGGTTTTTGAATATGTGCTTGCCATACTTCAGTCAATTCTCTAGATGATAGGAACGTCGCATATTTTCATTATAATCATGGACACTAGCACATAATGACAAATGCGGTCCTGCTAAGTTCAAATTCTACTTCTTTTATAATTGAGAATAAACTAGTTCTTAATGAGTAAGGACACTATTGTACGTTCTCCTTAGTGAGTTAATTCTAGGGATGATATTGTAGGTTCTTCTCAGTGTCAAGCATATAGATAGAGGCACAAGTGCCCCATCTATCGTAAAGATATGAAGTATTCATTCAAAAGGTCAATACATTCTTCTCTGCATTTTCTCTGATCATTCCTCCCACAACTTTACTAACATTTATATTAAAAAAACTCATTGTGCTATTTGACTCAATGGCCATTAAAGAGAGGGCCTCTTCAGGATACACAAAAAGACTAGGCAGATTTGTTGCATGTTTAATTTCCTTCCCTTCACCCATGTAATCTAGTTACGGATTATGGATTTTTTTTCATATATACTCCTCATTTTCATCTTTCTTCACTCTTAATACAAGTTCTTTCAACTAAATGATAAACAAATGATAAGAACGTTGAGATTTTAGGAAGCAGTTGACAAAGCACGCAAGTCAAAACTCAAGCAAAATAATTCAATGCAAGACGTGTGGATGATCAAGGTGCTTATCTCCTTTAGAAATTAACACTGAATATGGGTATAATTTCTTGAAGTAATTTAGTGCTGACAACCCAATGATACACTCTCTCCAGTCCTAAATGTAGGAGCTAGCTAAATAATCTACAAACACTTACAAAAATAGCTAATTCAATTATTTGTAAAAAATGGGTATTGGTTTTCCTAAACTACCACCTTTAATCATTAGCCTTGGAAATTAACCCCCTAGTAATGGAAAAACCTTTTGATGTGTGCAAAATTATAAATTTGGAAAACAAAATAGATTGAAGTATTATATTTCGGATCAAAATAAACCTCTCAACTAGATCCTATATCTAGAATCAAAGAGAGTCTAACTATTGCTAAGGTAGAAGCACATAGGGTATGCAAAGACACATGCATAAGCCCATGACCACTATTTCATCATGAACATAACTACTCACCTTTTGCAGCCTTTGTTTCTTATCCTGCTTTAATGAATGAATAACCTCAGTTAATCTGGCAAGTGTGTCATTGCTGATGCTTTTTAGTGTATTGTCTGACGAGTCACCCAAGCTAGGGTGGATTCCATTCAATGTCTTCAAAAAATCAATCGACATTACTACTGAAAGCTCATGAATAGTACTGATATGGCTATTCACCCTCTGTAGGCGCAAGATCTGCATATATAAAGGAAGCAATACTAAGAAAATACAATTTATAGAATTACAAATAGTTTATTTAGAATGCCTTGTGGTTCACCTTTTCATTTTGAAGTTCTTGAAGATGTGACTTAAGTTGCTCCAACTTCTTTACTGTCAAATCATCAACTTCCTGTTTTTTGCCCTCGTTGGATGGGCTGCACCCAGCTATTTCAGCACTGATCTGAGAAATCTGGAACAGTATCTTTGTAAATTCTTTGATTCGGATCTGCTTCTTTGACCTCAGCTCCTCTAATACAGGTCTAACCATAGCTATTTGCTCCTTAAGAGTACCTTTTCCCTTTAAATGAACAACTGAATCAGTAGAAGAGAGAGCTTTGTAATTTGATTAGCATAATGTTAATTATGCAGAGGAACACATAAGAGATATTGAAATCATCAAACAGGTGATAGTTGCAACTATAAACAAAAAATAGCAGATAAAGAAGCAGAAAATAGTGGAATTCTTATAGAAGGAACTTATGGAAACTGTAGAAAATAGCATAGGCAAGAAAGGAGAATGTTTTCCTAAAAGTGTTATAGAATTGTTAGACAAATCAGGACCATGTATGCCACCGGAAAAATGGCCTTTAAGTACTGCTAATAGTCTTCTTTAACACAAAATCTTTTGCAAACGGTGGTACAAGAGTTCATTAACAGTTATCGCAGTTGAAAGAGCAAGAATAAAGCAAAATAGCAACAAACCCGTGAAAATGAGGCACTCTCCCCAAGGGTAGATAAAATATTGGTGATTTCAGCTTCTGCGTCACTTAATGACTGGTACAGGTCAGCCTTGTACTTTCTTGTTTCTTCAACCTTTCGACGGTAAATATCAAGGCATTCTTGCTCAAGTTGAAGAAGCATCTTGTCTCTATCGCTATCACTTTCACCAATTTCATCCCATATTATCTAGGGGGGAAAAAAAATAGTGGATCATGACTCCTTACTTGGGTATCTCGCATATCACAAAAAAGAGCAAAAATAATCCATAAAGCTAAAATCAAACTGTAAAAATTACACAGACTCCAAAAGGTAACGAGGTCAATAAATCCCCAAAAATTTGAGAACCTGCATCAATTCTACCACCATTAACAGTTTCTTTCTGAAAATAAAATTAACTAAACAAAGGCCACAAAAACTCAAACTCCATAAGATCACCGAGAAATACGGAATGGATAAGCCCCTCTAGTTAAAAAAAGAACAAAATTCATTTCACTTCACACTTTCATCGTTTCTTTCAATTTAGTTACGCCCAACATCTGGCAAGTGAGTAACTTCATGACTGCACTCAATTAGTCATCATTTTAACCAAAGAAAAGAAAAGAACCTGCAAATGGTTGAGTAGAGAAGCGCAAGTGGTGCGAGACGGCGAAATTGGAGGAGGCAGGTTTGCCATTCTCGGAGCAAACAAACGTAGAGCAGAGAGAAAACCAAGCACGAGAGAGACAGAAAGAACCCTAGAAATGAAATGAGAGAAATCAAATCAGAAACTGCGAGCGTTGCGGAATGAAGGAGCGTTTATTTTGTTGATATGATTTCCTTTTTCGTTTCCGAATTCATAATTGCTTGCCAATTGCTTCTTCAGTTCTTCTGGATTAGAAGGATCGCAGGATCGCTTTTGAAATGAGACCACGGAACTCAGCTTTTAAGTTTTGGCGCCAAAATGTTGTGCTCCTTTTTTTTCAAATATATATTCGGTGTTTGTAACAATGAGATCAAAAAAAATAATTACAAAACACATTTTAAAAATTATCATTTTTAATTCTGAAATTTATTATTACAAACTGCTAAGATTATTATTGAGATTTTTTAATAATTATATTTCTTCTTAATACTTAATTCTCTCTTTTTTTTCCGTCTCAAGTGTCATCCTAGTTATGAAAAAGTTCCTACCAGTATATTATTTTTTCGTATTTCATAAAGTTTAAATTTTTAATAGTAAGCTACATTATTTATAATTTATAAATTTGCATATAACAAAGCACTAAAAATTCAAAATTAAAAATGTTAAGAGGCCAAGAAAAAATATTGAATTTGGACCAAATTATTCCATCTGTTTTGATATCTAATAAGTATAATTTAAGAAAAATTGTTATTATGTCCAATTGTCTATAGAATCGTGAGCGTGAACACCCTATTTTTTTCAAGCCCGCAAAAATTTTAAGAATTATAATGAATATAAAAAAATAAAAAAATAATAAAAGAAATTCTCCTTGATTCTTTCTTAAAAGTCAAGTTTGAGAAAAGTCTCCCATATGGTAAGCAAAAAGGAAAATCAAATAAAAATCTTCTTCCTACAATAAATGACAATAAAGCAAAAAATAAAATTAAATGCTGATTGATCCATAGGTTAGGAGATGTAGGGTGGACACATTAAAATGAAAAATAAGAAAAATCAAAAATAAAAAATAAAAAAAAATCTCATTTAAAGTTGATTAGTTCCTCAGTTGGAAGTACCTCTTAGAGTCACTATTGTGAAAAATAAAAAATTAAAATTAAAATTAAAAAAATCATGAATTGATTATATTTTGGTGCTAAAAAGGAAATCTTATCATGAGTCATTATTGGGAGAAAAATGAAAAACGAAAACTAGAATAAAATTGCATTAATTATGCAAAATCCTAGATGAAGCTAGAGTAAGGGTTGAAGGAAAAAAGGAAGATTTCTGGAGAGAAAGGAGGCAAGCCAATCGGTAGTGAAGCATCAGGTTTGGGTTTTCCTCCCTCTTTGCTATACTTGATTTAAATTTCATGATGATTGATTTTGTTGGTCATCCCTCCTTTCATAATTGTTTCATTTTTTCCTTCTTCTTAAAAGACATCACACCCTTCTTTTTAATCCCTGCCATGTGAGATTTTTAAAATCCCTACAAGTATTTAGATTTATTGGCAAGCTGTGTGAGACTATAGGAGTCTCTACAAGTATACCAATAGGGGTGCTCAAGTTTGTTTTCAAAAATAAAATGATAATTTGGTGCTAAAATTTCTAGTACTTCACTTGTTGGAAGGGATTTCCAGATTGAAGTGTCATGTTGAAGTTTTATCCCACCCTTCCCTCCTTAGCTTTACCCATCACTTTTAGCTCGTCCGAAGCTGAGTTCTTCAAGAGAAAGAAATGATGGAATATAAAAAGAAATATGATTTTATTATATTTCTAAGATATATGAGTTATTTGGATTTATTATCATTTTAGGATTTATTTAGATTTATTAATATTTTAGTATTTTTATTATTAGGGCTAGTTATTATTATTTTCATTTTTATCATTATTTTAGTATAATTAGATCTAGGGTTTTCATTAGACTTCAAACTTGAATCATTAAATCGGATTGACAGTTATCGTTCTTTCTTCTTTCTTCTCTTGACTTGCCCTTTTCTTGTTCTATTTTCTCCTTCTACCTGTTCTTTTCTTCCTCATATCTCTTCTCTTCCTCATTCTCTCTTCTTGTTTTACATTAGTGTGTCAATTGGTTGATGTCTTTTAGGAAAATATTTATTTAATTTATTTAGGAAAGATATTTTTTGTTGGTTTGTATTTTTTTTAATTGATAAAATCAACTCCTTTGTTGTTATTTAGAAAAGATTTCTTTTGAAAGAGCTTTTAATTAAATTTCTTGCTGGGATTCCCATAATCTCACACGAAAAAATAATCGTTCAAGCTTGCAGAAATTTGAAAAACCTCACATGACTCTAAAACAGAGATCAATTAAATAAATATTTTCCTAATAGGCCCACAACTCATGTTGTTCAATTGGCACAAGTGCAAGGAGACTACTCTCAGGTTGTGGCCAACAAGAATCATCTTTATCATTCTACAATGCCATCTTATCTGAAAGTTGCACTTCCCAAAGTTGTCCCATTGCTGAAAAAAAAAAATTTCAACAATATCTTATCTGTTGGAAAGGTTTCCTAGATGTTCTTCAAGATCTAGCATAGTCATAGTGATGCTTCTTATAAGGGCATTCTCTATAACTCATATGTAGAACTAAGTAACATTACAACCCTCTTTTTCTCTCTCTCTCTCTCTTTTTTCTCCTTTTTTTAATCTTTATCTCTCTCTTTTCTTCCTACAATTACAGAGAAACTAAGTAAAACAAATAAATATTAATAAAAATTGAAAAAGAAAAATACCTGAAGGTCCAAATGAAGTGGCCTACAAATGCAAATTTCGCCAAAAATGGGTTCAAATGAAAATTTCAAACAAAACTAAGGTTTAAGGTGTAATTTTGCCAGAATTCTGGGTCTAATGTGTAATTTTTGTGAAAATCTAATTCTGAACGTTGCGGTCTTGTCGGTGCACGGAATCCACTTACTGAAGAATGGCGGTGCGTGACAGCTTCTTTTACTTTGAAACTTCATGATCTGGTTGAGTTTCTCAAGCCGTTTTCCAATGGAGGTGATTTGTCACGTCTCAAAAATTTAACTATAAAGGATTAAAAATTAGAATAAGCATCAATATAGGAACTAGATAGGGAAATGAAACAATTTTTGATATGAAACCCAGATAAGGTCCGAGTTGGCATTTTCGTAATGATCGGTCAAAGAAAGGTAAAACGGGAAAATTTGAGAAAAAAGCTAAAAAATTTCTAAGAAATGGAAAAAGTATAAATTGGAAGTTTTGTAAACTCGGTTGAGACTCGAAAGGTGAAATTTCGGTGAAAAAAATTATTACGGAATTTCCCGTAAATAGAGGTTTTTCAAGAAATTATTGGGATATTGAAGGAAAATAATTATTTTAATTAGTTGGAAGCCTCAATAAATTTGAGAAAAATATAGATAAATCATCTAAATATTTATTTGAATTTATAAAATTATTTTTAGACCTTGGAAGCTTAGGAATTAATTTTAGGGAATTTATTTTTCCTCTGACTTACCGATAAAGGCCTAATTGGAGAAAATTCAAAATAAATACCTAGAGGTGGCAAAAAATTCTAAAAATTTTCTGATTATGCTCTCATATTAAAAGATGAATTATTATGGAGAGAAATAAATTTTTGGAGGTCTAAAAAAATTATGGAAGATTACTAGTGAATAGTAATCGATAAAGTTTCAAATTGATTTGAGATAATGATTTGGTTTGTGGGCCAGCCCAAACCATTTGTAGGACCCATAATGGACCCAAGAAGGGTCCAAATTCGTGTACTTTCTAGTAAAAGGACACTTGTGCAAATCTAATCATTTCACACACTTGATGGCTGCCACATACATCTTATTAGGTGTACCAATTCGGCCAAATCAGGAGGCAAGAGGGAAGACTTGAATTTTCTATAAATACCCCGTGAAAATACCAAGAAAAATGTTAGAAAATTGTGAAAAATAGGGGAGACTCTACCACTGTTCATCCAACCCTTTTGTTAGAAAATCTTGAGGTGTTTTAGGCAAGAAATCATCCAACATATACTAAGAAAATATTAAGGTATGTCCAAGCATCATAATCCCTAAGTATTATATTGATTAGGTTAGGATTTTTGCTTGGAAAAATGCTGGAAAATGATGAATATTTCGGTTGGAATGTATGATGCTTAGGAAAGGATAGAAACCTTAATAATCAAGTGGAATAAGGAAGATTAAATGGTGTATGGATTGATTTTTGGATGAAATCAAGATTAGGGCTAAGGGAGGAATTTTCGGTCAGCCACTGATCATGCAGAAGCAATTTGATTTTGCTTGATTTGATGATTTCAATGGCTTTAAAACATGTTTTTGTGTAGGGATATGATGTTGGGAAGTGTTTAAAATCATTAGAATAAAAAATAAAATTTTTGGAGATATATAACCCCCTATTCAGCCAGTCACTGTTCATGGGGGAGAAGTTTGAATTTCAAAAATCTGATTGCACCATTGGATTCCTCATAAAAAATTGTGTAGGAATGGGTCATGAGGTTATTAATTCTAAAAGACGAATCATTTTGTTAAAAATCAAAGGAAAAGAGGGGAATTATTAAGTTAAAGTGTTGTGTTTAAGTTGTTTAGGGATTAATATGACCTATGTTTATGCTTGGTTTAATAGGCATTGTAAGGAGGAACCAAGAGGAAGCTTTGTTCTTGGAGTAACCAATTGAACAAGTATTTACAAAGTAGTTTTGAATTATAATTTGATTGTTAATCTTACTTGTTTAATATGATTTGTTGTTTGATTGAATGGAAGAACTTGTGTTGTGGCATGGAATGATTAAATGATATTAGTTTATGCTTTGGCCTAATGCATTGAATTATGCCATTGTGAAAGTGTTGATGTTCCTCTTTTAGCATGGCATTAAGCATGATTCTATGTGGCTGATTATGCCCTTGAGGTATGATGACATGTCACATGATAACTTACTTGATTTGTATAATAATTGTAATTCAAATACTACTGAGATTTTTATGAAACCTCATTCCTCCTATGTCAAATTATGTCTCATTTAGAAAGTGGCTCAATTATGGATCAAGGCAAGGAATTGGTGTTGGGATAGAAGGGCTTTGCAAATGTCATATTGTTTTGGAATATTATGTTATGTATTATCCAACTTTATGCCAAGTTTGTAATGGATTATAGATGATATTATGATATAATTA